CCCGATGATGGAGAGGAAGAATTTTATATTCTATCTCCTGGTCTCTTGTTTGTTGGTAGAGATGAACCCGATGATGGAGAGGAAGAATTTTATATTCTATCTCCTGGTCTCTTGTTTGTTGGTAGAGATGAACCCGATGATGGAGAGGAAGAATTTTATATTCTATCTCCTGGTCTCTTGTTTGTTGGTAGAGATGAACCCGATGATGGAGAGGAAGAATTTTATATTCTATCTCCTGGTCTCTTGTTTGTTGGTAGAGATGAACCCGATGATGGAGAGGAAGAATTTTATATTCTATCTCCTGGTCTCTTGTTTGTTGGTAGAGATGAACCCGATGATGGAGAGGAAGAATTTTATATTCTATCTCCTGGTCTCTTGTTTGTTGGTAGAGATGAACCCGATGATGGAGAGGAAGAATTTTATATTCTATCTCCTGGTCTCTTGTTTGTTGGTAGAGATGAACCCGATGATGGAGAGGAAGAATTTTATATTCTATCTCCTGGTCTCTTGTTTGTTGGTAGAGATGAACCCGATGATGGAGAGGAAGAATTTTATATTCTATCTCCTGGTCTCTTGTTTGTTGGTAGAGATGAACCCGATGATGGAGAGGAAGAATTTTATATTCTATCTCCTGGTCTCTTGTTTGTTGGTAGAGATGAACCCGATGATGGAGAGGAAGAATTTTATATTCTATCTCCTGGTCTCTTGTTTGTTGGTAGAGATGAACCCGATGATGGAGAGGAAGAATTTTATATTCTATCTCCTGGTCTCTTGTTTGTTGGTAGAGATGAACCCGATGATGGAGAGGAAGAATTTTATATTCTATCTCCTGGTCTCTTGTTTGTTGGTTCACTTTGTGGACCTCTCGTTCATGGAACGAATCGAGAGGGGATTTTGGTTTTGGTCCTAACTGTTTAAAGGTTTGACCAAGATGGGAATTTGTGAGGGAAGATTGATCTAACGAGGTGATCGAATCTCATCTCAGCAATAGAGCATTCAGAAATCACCGTGGGGATGTAGTGTTTATCACTTTGTATGTAATGATCGGGTTATCCCATCCACCCCCAGCTTTTCTTGCGAAGCTGGGTTTATCATCATGTTTAGCTGTATGATCGGGTTATCCTTAAAAGTACCATGCATGGCATTCTCCAGGAACTTCCCGTGAAGGAAATGAGTACGTCACCCTCAGTCGCATGTTCGGGTTATCCTTAAGAATATAAGATTCTCTAGGAACTTCCCATTACATAAATCATCCACCTCCAGCTTCCTTTGTGAGGCCGGGTTTAACATTGTACCTAGTTGGATGACCGAGAAGCAGTTTATACTCGTATACTCTTTGGAGTGTAGTCTTCTAGTTTATACTCGTGCACCCACTGGAGTTGTCCAAAGCAAATATTGGTGGGATGAAGAACCCTTCTGTGGTATGCACAGTAGTTTGGATCTGTAATCCTCTTAGCTCCCTCCTGATCTTTAATAGGTGGTAGCTCGATCTTGTCGTTGGCGAGGAGGTATTCCAATATGGCTGGAGCTTCATCATCTTCGAAAGAATACTCCTTTTGGAACCTCGGATTGAGAGTCGCGTTCACTGGGATTGTGGATGTCGTCGTTTGACCTCTCTCAACTTTCTTTCTTTTAAGAAAGTGTTCAGCTTCTTCGCCACGTAATTTTAACTCTTTCCAAGTTTTGGATGGTACGACCCCCAGGGCTTCCAGGACATCGATGGAGAGATTATTGTGGCATGTTTGTAGGATAAACTCCTCTGTAACAGGATCTCTGCAATTCATTGCTTTGTCACGGAAGCGCTTGACAAAATCGTCGACTGACTCTCCGTCTTTCTGCTTCTCATCCAGAAGAGTCCCTATTGACACTTCGGTGTCATCATCGAAGAAATTACTGAGGAACAAACTTTCCATGTCATCCCAGCAATTGATGATCCCTGGCTTGAGACGTCGGTACCAATCGAAGGTGGGCCCACGAAGGGTGCCAACGAATGACCGGACCATTAAAGCCTCGTTTCCAGAGATCATGCCCAAATGAGACTTGAAATAAATCAAGTGCTGAGTAGGCGCGCTCTTCCCGTCAAATGGTGTGAAGTTAATCAGATTGAATTTTGACGGGTACGGTATTGAATCCCACTCTCTTGGATAAGGACATGGAATACCCGTCTTTTTCACTTCTTGAGCCGTCATCAAAACGTTGATTTTGTTTTCCAGCTCTTGCATTTTCTTGTCCTCATCTTTATCTCTCTCTGAGTGATGTCGAGCAGAAATAATTGGGCCACCCCCAGTGTTACTAAGCGGTGCAATTAAACCACCCCCAATGTTGTTATGGGGAGGATCTGTTGAACCTCCCCCAGTGCTATTGTCATTGGGAGGTGTATCAGCCATAATGACTTCATCCACTTCTGGATCACCATTCTGAGTGTGGCGGCTGGATTTAGCTCGCTGACTGGACTCAGGAGGTTGAGGCCGTTGAGCTTGCAATTCTTTCATTTGTTGAATAGCCAACTCTATTTCTGTCTTTATCTCAGCTCTAATTTCTTCACGTTGTTTGGACATCCTTTGAGCAATTCTTGGATTGACTTTTCCTCTCGGGGAAAAGTCGGGATTTGAGTCACTTGAATGCCGCTTAGACTTTCTTTTATCAGCCACGTTGATGGTGACTTCAGGGAATTCATCATCTTGGGCAGCTGATTTTCTCTTGCTGAAATGTCTCGGCTTAGGCTTCAACATTTCGGTGAAAAGACTGTGGAATACCGAGACTCTTCGTGGGATGACTTCTCGTTTGAAACAGTCACATTCTGATAGCATTGCTCTAATGAGTCGCGCACAGGAACAATGAGAGCTCATTTCCTGGACAGTTCGAGTTTTGTTCATACCCCCAGCTTGATAGTATGATTCATCGGTATGATTGCCGAAAAATCTTATCGTCTGTTGGTATGACCCCCCAGGTATAACGATGTTTTTTGACAAACATGTTTTCTTCTAAGGATGTAAAACTTTGTTGGCATTCTCAGGACAACTTATTATTGTCTTTGAAAGATCCAAGATTATGTCGGGAGTCGCACTTTTAGAACCACCCCCTTGCGGGTATGGAGTCTTAACGGGCCCCGAATGCTGATTTTGCACAACTCCAGACTTTGGAATCCAAACTTGGCAGAGTTTTGGTGGTTCTTTGGCCACCGCTTCCTTCTTCCATTTTTTTCTTTGTTGTGAGAGAGCACGGGCATGAACAGCGTTTGCTCGACGTTTTTGTATACGTTCTTTGAGGGTCGAACGAGCCCTTTTGACAATAGTCCATTCCTCCGTCGTAAGTTTAGCAGAGACATGAGTGATTGGTCGTTGAGACAACTGAACCACTTGATGCCTCCTCGACTCTAAGTCCGCATAATAACGAACTCCGTCGGTTTGTTCTAAGGCCTTAGCCATTTGACGAGCGCGGCGTTGGCGTTGTCTCTGACGAGCTCTTTTCGTCAATGCCGGCGGGCTTTGATTTAATGACTCCCTAATTAGAGAAGAGTTATTATGAGCAGAGAGGTTGCGAGTAGAATCCTCAGCAATAATTAAGCGAGAATCCTCATCTATAGTGTTTGACAACTTCAACAATGATGAAATCTTCCTGCATTTGCGAGGCGATGAAGACTTTACAGAGGAGGATGACAAATACTCCTCAAACTTCGATTGGTCGAACTCGTACTCGACCGTTGATTCAACCGGGATCTTGATGGTTGGCTGCGACACGACGGTCTCGGCAGCGAGACCGTTGGCTCCCATTGTGGTCGCCAGTTTGTTTGTGTCAAAAGTTGGTCTCGTTGTGGAATTCATTATATCTTCAGTCGATTACAATAAATTCAAAAGAGATAGCCTTTTTATAAGACTCCTATTACACAACAAAGAGAAAATTATAACTTTTTAGAAACAAACGCAGGATCGTTGTTTGGATCTCTGCTTGCGTGGGATCTTTGCCTGTGCCGGGGGTGCGTTAGCCCGTGGACCACCAAATCACAGATTCTGATTGAACCGTGAGGGGTTTAATGATTCTTCCTTCGTTTATCGAAGTAAGAATTTGAAGCGAATATCTTATCGATGTAAGATGTTCACTCTTCCAAAGATCAAGTCAGAGCTTAGATCTCTAGGAATCGCCAAAAGCTTCTTGAAGATGTTTGTGAAGAAGGAAGACTCTCTCTTTTGCTCTAATTCACCAAAACTCCAGGCCCTCTGCTCTAATTTGCTCTGGAAATGCTCAGCCCCTGTCAATGATGGCCATAGGGGGGTATTTATAGCCTCCTTGGACGATAACTGAAGAAATAGCCGATCAGCAACTAGCCCTTTAGGCGCGACAGTTGATGCTGTCGCGGCTAAAGGGCGCGGCAGTCGACACTGGGCTAAGCCGCGGCACCATAGGCTGCCGCGCCTTAGCCGCGGCACCATGGTCTGCCGCGCCTCAGCCGCGGCACCATGTCCTGCCGCGCTGCCATGTAGTTGCTTGATGATGTGTATAGTGTTCTTCTATGTTATTTTGAGTGGTGTTTGGACGTCTGTAAGCATTTTTTGACGCCTACATGGCAGTTTTTGGGTAATGAGTTAAGGGCAATTTTGGAATTTGGAAAAAAATTCTCACTGTATCAGACAATATTAACACAAACGGACCAAAATAATACGTAGGGCCCAGTCACAATAGCGTTTTTAGTTTGGGGGCCTTGATACATTTTCCCCAAAATAAAAACTAAAAAGTTTACAGATCTTTTCGAAGAAAAAACCGATCAGACAATATTAACACAAACGGACCAAAATACCCTCAGCCAGCATCACTCTGCGAACCGGTGCCATTTCCGTCAATATAAAAAGTTTCAATTCCTCCCTACTTTTTTCCTAGGTTTTTTTTCCGCCCTCCTTATCTTTTGTATACTTTTTTCACTGTCGATCCTTTTAATCACGCTTTTTAAGCTGTGAAGCGCGGCGACGCGGCGAGGTACTCTTCGACTTTTAAAATTCTAGGGTTCTTATTTTCCCATTATTTTCAAGTTAAAAACTGCAGTGTATCGTAGTATATATCTAAAATATATAAACTTTTAGGGTTTGATTGCTCCTTTATGCTGAAATCAGTTGTTTTGAGGTTTTGTTCTTTAGTGATCTGTGGTCTGGTAGGAACATTTTGGGCCTTGATTTTTGTTGGGAAAATAAACGCGTGATTGATTAGGGTTTTTCGTCTGTGCCCTAATTTGGACAGGAGGAGGGCTGAAGAGCTGTTGGGGTTCGTTCGATTCAATTTTTTGTTGGGGGTTTGAAGCATGAGTTCGGATAGAAGCAGGAGCAGGAGCAGGAGCAGGAGCCCTCCTCGATCTCGCAGGTTCCGAAGCGAGCGGGAGCGGCCTTCGTATCGTGATGCTCCGTATAGGAGAGAGTATCGTAGTTCTCGGTGATATATCTTTGTCTTGGATTATTTTTAAGTATAATTTGTTCAACGTGTTTTTCCAATCCATTATGCGGCAGAAAAGTTATATGTGAGATCAACAGTTTGTTATTTGTTGAAGTATAAAAGTATTTGTTTCCAAAATGATATCGGTAATAATAGCGAATGCTATGGCCTTCAATATATATTGCACTAGGATCTTCGCGGGATTTGTTGAAGGAGAGTTAAGTGTGTATGAACTCCATGATAACGTTTTCCACATAACAATCAAACTGAACGAAGATAGGTATTCAGGTATAGTTCAAGTTAAGTGATAATGCATTGATTTATGTCTTTCTTTCATTTTGCTTGCTTGTCTTTTATTAAAAGTCAAATTTACATTACATTTTCCAACAACCATTTTTATTATGCATTTATGTCTGTATGTCTGATAAACCTCTAGAGTTCCTTTGTTTAGTTACATGGTGCTATGAAGATCTAGTTTATTTAGTTAGGATTCGTCTTGGAAGTAGAGTAACTTTGATTTATCTCTCATATTTCGTACAACATGCGTAGATTATTGATTCTCCGTTGATGTTTTGTGCTATTATCTTATATTGGATATTTAAGTTCAAGTAAGAAGACAGTCAGAGAAAACTTTGTGGTTGGTGTCCTTAACAATGGTCAACTTCGTCCACCACCTGTATGCTTTTTCGTGGATAGTAAATGACTTCATGGATTTTAGTTATGGAGACAGGAGTCTATTGTGCAGTAAATATCTATCGTTCTCTCTGGACAGTTTCTGGATCTGTTTTGGACTGAGTGTTTCACATGTAAGAAATTGTTAATTAAAGTATGAATCGATTTCCTTGCAACATTTTCAGCTGTTTGAGTTATTGATTTCCCTATTCAGCTATAATTAACCTGTTGTGTCCTTGGTGTCTTTGTTGACACCCTAGTACCTTTCGGTCTATCCTTTGTTCTTAAAGCTGTGTCAGCTAGTACTTTAACAGCTTCCTGATGGGGACACTTATTACCTCTTTTCACGTCCAAATTTATCAAACTCGATGTTTTTGTAATATTGTCCATTGCGTGTTCTTAGCTTTCTCAAGGCACACTCTAGATAACTATTCTCTGTGCGTCAAGGATCATAGGCTACATTCTACAGACACATTGTGTGAACTTATTCTTTGCACAACAAGAAAGATAGGGTGCAGATATGAGGTGTTTCTCTTCTTCTTTTGATAGTCTTATCACCAGGAAACATAGAATATTAAGAGCGTACAACAACTTGTTGAGTACTTGTATTTTACATGTCAGAAGGATTCTTTAAGAGCTGATAAATTAAGTTATATGGCATCTTTATTATAATGAATTTGGATTAAAAAAATTCAAATCCAGCTTGACCTTTGCATTCCTACAACTACAGCAGTAACCACTATATATAACCGACAAGCCTGTTTCCTGTGAGAACTTATTTTCTTTTTTGGGTGGGTTTTGTTGGGAGAAAGGGAGGGGGGTGGGTTGAGGATCTTATATCTGATTTCTTATATTTGCCCGTGAAGGAATATTTCAATAGAAAATGACAATGTTAGACCTTGTTACTTGATTGATATTACAGATTATTTAGGAACTGAATGGTCCATGTTCCTTTTTCATTGGTATTGAGCTATGAATCCAGTTTCTCTACATGATGTTCTGCTCAATTGTTTTGAAGATTTGTGTATTGGATTTCTTATATTTGCTAGTGAAGGAATATTTCACTTCAAGTAAGAATATGAGACTTGTTACTTGATTGACAGCCTAGTTACGAATTTAATAGTCCATGTTCCTTTTTCATGCATGCATTTGAGTGTTAAAGTTTCTAGTTTCCTATTTGACATTCTGCTCAATTGTTTTTTTAAGTTCGATTTATTTGGCTTGTTCTTCCTTGAGACTACAATTATGTGAACCATTTGAAACCTTTTGCAATAGATGTCGGTGTTGTTATCTGGCATATAATGAATGAATTAGATACAGTGGCAAATTGATCATAGGTTTATGAATTTGAGCCCCATATGGAGGTTTACTGGGATTGTTTTATATGGGAATAAGAATTACTAGAAATAATCTTGAATAGATTTTTCAGTTTACATAGAAAACTCATTTAATTGAGAAAATATCCTTGTGCCAATATTTGGTTTATCAGTCTGCTTGTATAGTCACATCTATAGTGCCTGCTTTTTTACAATTGCTGCAAGTATTGAGATTTTCTTTGCAGTTGGTGGCTGATATGGTTATGAAGGTACAAGTGAACTGCTCCAGTGACATCAGAGCAATTTAATCTGTTTTTTACAATTCAATTGATGTGCTAAAGCATTTTCAACTTGTTTAATTCTTACTAAATCCATTATGTTTTTCTACTGAAATTTTTTCTTTTTCTTTTTGTTTTTCCATTTCATAGGCAGGATGTCCTCTGCAAGAATTGCAAACGACCAGGACACTTTGCCCGAGATTGTCCAAATACAGCTGTCTGTAACAACTGCGGACTTCCAGGGTATGAATAAGATAACTGATTATACTTAGGGGCTGTTTGGTTGTATGTTTTTACCATGTAAAAGGATGGAAAGTGTAAAAAAGTGGGTCCCAATGTCAGCTTTCATCACTTTCAATTGTTTGTTTGTAGTTGTGAAAATAGTGTAAAGTGATTTCATATGCTGATGTGGCTTGTAAAGTGATTTCATAAAAAAAAGACATGATTTTAGGAGAAAGCTGATATTGAAGTCAGAAAAAAATAATAAAAAATAATTCCAACCATTATGATCATTTGAGTAGGTGATATTGAAGTCAGAAAAAAATAATAAAAAATAATTCCAACCATTATGATCATTTGAGTAGGGACCACTTTACACTTTCCAAACAAACAATTAAAGTTACATTTGCAAACCAAGTAAGCAATTTATGATTCCAATGGAATAAAAAACAAACAAAGAGAAGTATATAAGTGAAATTGATGAGGTGGACAACAACTTTCTAAGTTGTGTCATAAATACACAATTTTACCAACAACCACCAAACAGCCCCTTAATTTATATGAGTGGTCCACCTAGATCACATCTATCTCTGTCCTGATTTTTTATACCAAGCATCCTCATAGATGATTAGGGAACACGGGTTTTGCATGAAAAAGCCAACCAAACAATCAGTTCGCCTTCCTATTTAACAGCACTAATATTTTCATTTACACACAACTTTTCACCTGCTTTTTGATGTTGTGCATATCAATTTCAATTTTATTTCATCTGCTATATTAAAACTAGATATGGAATATTAAAAAACCAGACCGTATACCCTTTATATCTTATTTCTGTCAATTCTTTTTTTTGAATTTTCAGGCACATGGCAGCTGAGTGCACTGCTAAGACCCTATGCTGGAACTGCAAAGAACCCGGACACATGGCCAACGAGTGCAGTAACGAACCGGTCTGCCACAACTGCAACAAGACGGGTCACCTAGCCCGTGACTGCTCCAGCTCTGGCTCATCCTCCTTCGACACCAGGCTCTGCAACAACTGCCACAGGCCCGGCCACATCGCAGCGGGGTGTACCAATGACAAGGCTTGCAATAACTGTAGAAAACCCGGACACCTGGCTCGTGAATGCCCCAACGATCCTGTGTGCAACCTGTGCAATGTCTCAGGCCATCTTGCTCGCCAGTGCCCTAAGTCTAGCTTGGCTTCAGAAATCCATGGCGGGCCCTTTCGTGACATTATTTGTCGAGCCTGTAACCAGCCAGGTCACATTAGTCGCGATTGTGTGGGAGTCATTATCTGCAACACTTGTGGAGGTTGTGGCCATATGTCATATGAGTGCCCTTCTAATCGTATGTTCGATCGAGGGATGGTTCGAAGGTACTGATCTATGGGTGCCCTAAACCAGCAAAAAGGATCTCTGTTTATCGGGAAGATTTAAAAGGTTCCTTGCCCTTGCTATGTTTTGGGTTCGTTTTATTTGTCACCGGGGAGATACTATTTCCTTCGAGAGGCATTTGTGCTTGCTGGATGTTTCGGTTACTAGATTTTGTTCGTGCTAAAGTAGCTTTTAGCTTGTTCATCCAGTGCTTGCTGGATATTTTGGATAGTCGATTGTTTTTTATGTTATGCACAATCTTTGAACTTCTAGCATTCAGTGTATTTCTCTTTAATAAAAATAGTTCGTGCTGTGTAAATTTACCCTTTACCAGAAATAGGCTACGAGCCTGAGGTTTTTTTGATCAGTTCTCGAGGATGTTACTGCAAAAATACAAATAGGCTGCTTATGGCTAGAATCATCAACAATGTCATTGAGAAACTCCGTAACATTTGGTATTTCTTCGGAGTCCCATCAGCGAGCAAAACGAAATAATTTTATCCAACATAAACTAATATGAACAGCAAAGCTCTGATTCTAAGTTAATGAGGTCCCTTTTGTTTAAGCTCGTTAAAAAAAAAAAATTGTTATGATGCTCCTGATAAATGCTTTTCTGTACGGTCGCTCTTCATATGCTGTACCGTTGATTACATGAAGTAGGAGCAAAGTTTTTGCTGCTGAACAGCATAAATTACATGCTACCGTGATTTCCTGTCCAAAGATATTAACTCCCTACTCCACGGCGTCGAACTCTGAGTTCCAATGGACCTGCACCATGCGTAAATGATGTCAAGCATACTGTAAAATGCGCTCTGTAGTCATGAAGCGAGAATCAATAAGAAGCCATTAACAAAAAAAAAAAAAAATCTTCGATGATGATTCATGTGATAAAAATTTTATCCTCGTACAGATATACCCTCTGAAAACACTGTTCGTACTCTCGACACAAAAGGGTTGGCATGTATCAGCATACGTTCGTTGGATGAAGCATTTGTTCGAGTGGAAACACGCAATGAATTCAATAAAATGTCCGAATCAAGAGGCGGCATGGTTCATCGTGGAGTTATTCATGGAGTTTAAACTTGCGAAACCATCGATCAATAATATTAGCAAACAGATAGAACAATGTTACCATACATGACTAAAACAGACGCAAATGTGTCCCTCGGTGAATCGAAGAGGACCAAAATAACTGAAACTTACTAGCGAAACCCGCCCTCTGTCCAATATGAACCAGCAGATTTCCCACCCCGAGTATCCCCCTTGCTCGACGAGCTATGTGAACAATCACCATATCCATCATCCTTTGGATCATCCCATCCATCCCAACTCTCGCCACTGTGGCTCCTCCTACTCGACGACTCGCCCCTTTCTCTCTCATTCCAATCATCCCAGGATCCTGAACCTTTCGAACTGTGCCCCCTCGTCGATGACCTCCCTTTAGTCGCGTTCTGGGCGTTGTCCTCGTTATCAAACTCCTGGCCGCAACCGTCCCTTTGATTCTCGTCGCGTCGCCAGTCATCGCCATTGGTGAATTCCTCGACCTTTGTTGATGCCAGCGCGACGACCCCTTTCATGATTCCCCAAGTTTTGTGCCCGATTTCGGAGGTTTTTGTGGTTACCACACTTACCGTTTCGTTTACTTTGTTATCGTACCCCCCATCTGTCACCTGCACTTCAAAATGCGCAAGAGCTAAGGCATAAACTTTAAACACAAGCAAATCCTAAGCAAAGCATGGAAAAATATCAGGGTTAAGAGGAAAAAGAACCTTGGAAGTGAGTTCCCTTGTGCCAGCTTGGACAACGTTAGCTGCAGACTGAGCAGCAGAAGCTGCAACCGAGGATAGCCTGCCAAATCCCTACAAAATATTTTCAGCATGTGTTTCAGAGATGCTCATAATTCATAAACCAAAGTCTGTGCATCTGATTACCAACACATCAACAATCTAGCTACACACAAAAAAAAAAACAGGAACTACTCTGAAATTTACCTGAGAGACAACAGAGAACATATCCCCCTGAGAACTACTCCGGTGAACCGGGTTCACCGGGCTCGACCCGAAACCAACATACTTCCCGCCCTGCGACGGAGGCAGCCCCTCCGGCTTCGCCCCGTTCTCCGCCATTCTCCTCGCAAAGAAGTCGTCTTTATTCGCTGCCGACGCCTCCAACTGGGCTCTCGTGTAAATATCCTGCGTCGACATTGACCTCGACGGCTCCCCTCTTCCTCCGTCGCCTCTGAAATCGCTGACAGAGTGGTTTTTTCTAATGCTGGTGCGTTTGGGCTCTTCTGTGTCCCAGTTGTCCCAGGTTGAGCTGTTGTTTGAGGATGATGGGTTTTGACGCGGTGGAGGTTTGTTTGATTTGTTGCCGGAGTTGAGTGTTTCTTTCACCGGCGTCGGGTCTCTCCATTGTTGCCCTTCAGCAAGTGCCTGGAGCAAGAAATTTTGATATTCAACTTTTTTGCAGGATATCTAGAAAAGGGAAGACCTTATTGGAGACTTACGTTGGAATTTCATTGGTATAATTCATTACCATTTATCTTTTTTCCCCCTAGAAATTGTTGGAAACTGCTAAGAAACGGCAAAAACCAGGAAAAATCGGCAGTGGCGAAATGGCTCTGGTCGACCCACTGATGAACAACATTAGTCGACCGATAACATACACCTACAGGTTGCAGAAATCGTCACTCTGGCCGGTCAACTGATGAACCCTCATCAGTCGACCGATGCACATTGTGCAGTCGACTGAGGAGGGATCATCAGTCGACCGATAGCGGTTATTGGGCCTGATTGTTTTCCTGATCTGTTTTGGATTGGGTTTTAATATAAATAGAAACACGTTTTCTAAGGTTTTGTGAGAGGCGTTAATCAGAGAAATTTGAGACTTTTGAGCTCTTAGAGAGGAAGATTATTGTGAGGGAGTGAGATCATTTGGTTAGGGTTATTTTGAGTGTTTGAGAGAGTTGTAACTCATTGTTTTCTTCTTCATATAGTGAAATCTATTCATCCTCTCCCCGTGGACGTAGGCAATTCGCCGAATCACGTAAATTCTCTGTGTTTATAATTGGTTTTGGTCATTCTATTGTGGACTGCACTCGTGGTGTTCTTGTCGCGTTGCTTACCGACTCGTCATGGATTGTGCATGCTTCCGCCGGCCCAACAGGAATTTCATCACCAGTTGTCTATAACTATTCTTTTCATTAAACTGTTAAAGTAAGACTTAATTGTAATGAGAAAGACATAAAACACAAGGAAATCTGGAGATTTAATTTTTCAGGCGCCGTAGCGCCCCGTTCACGGGGTTGAAATCTCTACTTACTTACACAGCGGTATCAATTTTTTTAAAACTCGTCTCAAAAGTACGAGTAGCCTATCGATAAATGAGAATTTGTTAATTTGTATCGTTGTTGGGTATACCGTATTGACCGATCCTACGAAATCTACGTACACCGTTTAGAACGCCGATTGCAGGGACGTCAACGTACCTGGATTCGATCTCGGTAGATGGCGGCGGCGTCGGTGTTGTACTTCGTGACGATGTCGGTCTCCTTCGGGATTCCGTACCGAGAGAGGAAATGGTTGAAGGTGTCGTTGCCGCCGGCCTCCATCTTCCTCAGCTGGGCCTCCGACCAGGAGTCCATGGTAACCGATCGGACGAAGCTTATGTGAACCCCGAGGCCCCGGTGCTTTCCGGAACATTCTAGACACATGAACACGCCGTAGGAGACGGAGGCCCATTGAGGGTTTCGCTGGGCGCAGTCGACGCATGCTTTGTTGCCTGGTTGCGATTGGAGGTCGCGGAGGCGGCGGGTGGCCGTGGCCGTTGCCGCCATTTTATTTTATTTTTTTTTAATTTTCTTTTTCTTTTTTTCCCCCCTTGAGGTTTTTGAGGGGAAGGAGAGAATTTAAAAAGGAAGGAGCGGGTGGTGAGGGGGGAGGGAATGGGGATAGCCGTTGGTTGAAAATGGAAAAGGTTTGGTTTGTTTACAGTAAATTGGGGGGATTTAGGTTCAAATTTAGATTTTTCTCGATTATTATCGGGTAATTGATGCGTGTTAAATGATTTTGCCAAGTCTTAAATCTGTTTTATTGCTAAAAGTTTTAAAGTGACGTTAATCGTTATGTTACTTACGTTCTAAATTTCCAATTAAATACGATCATAACATAAGTTTTGTATAGTTATCAGGATTCAGTGTATGGATTTAGATCCTCTCCACTGAGGAAAAAAAACGGGTCCCATGACCCCACCTTTGATCAAGAAAGGCCAAAAATCCTCTTTTAAGTTTGGGGGTTTCTCAGATAACTCCCCTTAACTTTTACAATGTTATAAAACTCCCCATGCCATGAAGACTCACGCGATTCATCATAGTCTTTTTTACATCCAAATTAATTTCATAGAATTATATAACAAATCCTAAATTTAAAGAGTGAAACAACCGGTGAACGAAGTATTAATTAATTATAATACACACCTGAGCTCTACAATTAAAAGTGTAAACACGTGAATAATACAAACTCTAAAAATAAATAAAAAACTTTTTAAAAATCAAAAATCCGCCTCGATCTCCTCCCACAGCCCAACAGCCCTAACGAACCCCGCCGACCCCGCAACCACCAGCGCCGCAAAAATCGGCGGCACGAAGAAGTCAACGGCCTTCGACCTCCCGAAGAGCTGAGCAGGCAAGCAC